GGAAGCATCCTGCTGTTGCAAATAAGAAGTAACAACACGTGCAGATAACGCATGTTTTTAATGAGAGTGTTACGTAACTAATGTATTCAACATAATATGTATGATCACGGCAGAGATATAGAGAATTATTTCCCCACAGTTAGCAAAAGTTCTGGAGAAAATTCAGCGTCATTCATCAACGTTGCGAGCCTGAGGATAGAGAGTAACCAACATGCTTTTACAAACGACCGATCGTCTGCGTGTATTACACAGAATTTGTTTAATGGATGTATTTGTGTATTACACACACATAATTTGGTTTAAGAATGGGTATTCATGCTTTGTTCCTTGACTTTCGTTGGACTTGGTTGATCACGGTATTGTTCTTAGAAAGCTGGCCAATACTCAAAATGCTTTTGCTGTGGACAACGAGCATCTCAGAAGAAGCCAGCATCTTGGAGGTGTGCTTTCGACTACAAATCAGTGCCCCTATGGACCTAAAGGGCCTTGCATGTCACTACTTTGTTTAACTTTCACGTAAATGATCTGGAAGATTCCATCCCGAAGTATACCTATGAATTAGCACATACAAATACGCTGATTGCCACACTCAGGAATATCTCCGCTTCTTCAATTCATAATGTGCCTGCGCGTGTGTCTGCACGTGAGACAATTGACCTCTGCCTAAGGCTGATTAATGCGGCGATTGAAAGAGAGTGTTTAACTGTTGGAGAATGTTCTTAAATGGAACACCCACCTGGAAGAAATAAGAGAAAAACAAAGAAACGTCTTTTTCATCCTAGGGAATGTCGTAATTGGCCAACCTACGAACGGTTGTTTTGATATACTGCAGTACCATGTTTGCCGTGGACTGCATGCAGAGGATCTGCATTCCATTTGAACACTTAAGAGGGAGGGTTCTTCGAGAGTCAGGCATCATTCAAATGCACGAGCGAACACATCTGATTCGAAGACATCTCATTAGAACACATTTAATTAGAACACATCTGATGCGAAGACATCTCATTGGAACACATCTAATTAGAACACATCTGATTCGAACACATCTCATTAAAACACATCTCATTAAAACACATGAAGCAAGGACGAATTGAGACCGCCTAAATGTCTTTTAAAAAACACTGAACGTTCTTATATATTTAGGGCTTGTAAACTTTGGAATACGCTTGAAGAACAGGAGAGACAGTTAAAATCATCTTTACCCCAATTTAAGAAAGCAGTTTAAAAAAAAACGTCTTCATGAAAAGTTTTCAAACATTTCAACTTTGACAGGAAGTTATTTTACTTTTAACATTTTAATATTTGTAATAACGTATAATAGGTTATTCGCTTTTTATATTGTAAATTTCAAGACGTAATATTGTAATTTAAACCTGAAAAGCCCTACGAGGAGGTTGAATAAATCTGCTACTACAACTACTACTATTTAATTAGAACACATCTGATTCGAACACATTCATTAGAACACATTAATTAGAATACATCTGATTCGAACACATCTCATTAGAACACATTTAATTAGAACACATCTCATTAGAACACATTTAATGAGAACACATCGCATTAGAACACATCTCATTAAAACGCATTTAATTAGAACACATCTGATTCGAAGACATCTCATCAGAATATCTTATCTGTTTTTCTTTCTACATCGCTTTTCCGGACAAATTCCAGTTGAATACTTGTCAGGATGTTTTCCCCTTTGTAGCGACATCTGAGTTCAATATGCGAAACACCATGGTACCTGCATGAAAGGCTATAATGGTGCCGCATATAATTTTAGTGTGATTGAAAAAAGTTTTTAAATTACACTTTGACATTATACCATGATTATATCAGCAGAGTTAAAAATGGTCGAGTATGCAAGCTATCACATATGACAAGTATTAAAATTGCGTAGTGTATAGATGGGTCTTAGCTGATGGAGAAAATTTATTCACAATTATAAGCTGCTCCTAGTGAAGAATTGCGAGCCTGGGGACGAGGATGGTATGGAGTTGAATATAAATTTTCCCTCGAAATTTCTGTCTAGTAAAAGCTACATATTCAATTATATCGAGCGACATACCAAAAATGTGATATTTTTTTTTTTTTTTATATTTTATTTTATAAACTTTGCCGATGAAACAGTACATTGCATGACAGGACAAAAACAAACGTACATAATGAAATACAGTAGGTACATGACCACGGCTGGGTGACCGCAACAGCGAATAGCCAATTACTGCGGGCCCGACACAAAACTATCATTACACATATATATATACACATACATGCGTTACAGGTGTGATCTTATTTACAGTTCAACTGCAACACGATATTGGACGTAACAGGCTTCGAATACAATTACATTTCAGACATATACTCTTAAATGTTCGAGAGTTTTCAGGATCATAATTAATGTTCAGTGATGTAAAGTAATACTTGAGCAGATCTGATTTAAATACAGAAATGCTAGTATCCTTAGTAAAGTTCAGTTCATCTGCAAGATAGTTCCAAACTCGGCACGCTCTTACGAGGAAAGATTTTTGGTAGGTGGTAGTTCTGCATTTAGGGATGACATATTTCAGTTTGTTTGATGAGGTTGATCGGGTTGTTCTACGAGTGGCGAAGATAGCTGGCGACACTTGGGGATTTAGCGTTACTGGAAGAAGATTTAAAGACCGTAACCTCGATTTATAGTCAACAGCTGTGCTAAACGGTAGATTTAAGATGTATTTAGTAGCACGTCTTTGTGTTCTTTCGAGTTTACTTATAAGTTCCACTGACTGTGGTGACCAAACCTGTGTTGCGTAGCCAAAGTGCGACCTAACCAATGCCAGGTATAACGCTCGTCTGGCTGCAGTATTTTGAATAAACAAAGTGTACCTTCTAACATATCCCAGAATCTTATTCGCTTTCGCTGTCTGCTCGTTCACATGTTTTTTCCATGTTAAATCTGATGACAGCCACACGCCAAGGTCTCTTTCGTTGTCAGTAATGGATATGATTGAGTTGTCCAACTTGTACGAGGAAGCAACTGGTGCTTTTTTCCGCGTTAGCGTTTGATGTTTGCACTTGGATTGGTTGAATGATAGCCCAGATACTGTTGACCAGTGTTCCAGGGTTCCAAGATCAGTTTGTAGAGAGGAAACATCGTTCTGTGATTGAATTGCGGAGAATATCTTGGTGTCGTCGGCAAACATTGCAGCTCGACTGGACGTGGATGCTTCGAGTAGGTCATTCACGTAAAGAAGAAACAGTGTAGGACCGAGTATTGACCCCTGTGGAACGCCTGAACAAACTGGTAGAGACTTCGATGTTACACGAAGTACAGTAACACGTTGACGACGGTCAGTCAAGTACGATTGAAACCATTTTAGTAGGTTACCGCCAATACCCGAATTTGCTAATTTCTGCGTCAATCGCTTATGGTTGATTCGGTCAAACGCTTTTGACATATCCAGGTATACCATATCTACCTGCCCTCCCTTGTCCAGACAGGCGCCGATGTAATCTAATGCTTCTAACAAATTAGTCACACAAGATTTTCCTTGGAGGAATCCGTGCTGGTGATCATAAATTATCCCAGAAAAGTGTTGTCGAATGTTCATGAAAATGTACCGTTCTAGAACTTTCGAAAGAATTGGCAGGAGAGAAATTGGCCTGTAATTCTCTGTGTATTCTTTGTCACCTTTCTTATAAACGGGAACAACGTTCGCTAGTTTCCAATCTTGTGGCACCGTTCCTTGTTGCAATGATTTGTTGAATAGTTTGCAGATGGAGGGAGTGATTATTGAGGCGGTTTCTTTTAGAAGTCTCGCTGGGATTTCGTCCGATCCGGTTGCTTTGTTAGTATCAAGGGAGTTAAGTAAAGTTTCTACCTCTAACTCAGTTACTTTGAGTTCAGTTAAAACTGGATCTGTCCTGTTAGGATGTTGAACAGTGAGGTTTTCGGATGTAAATACGGAGGCGAAGTAGGTATTGAAGAAGTCAGCTATTTCGTTAGGGTTTGTAGCAATTGGTCTGGAAGGGAGGTTTGACTGGTCGGGATGATTCAAGAATCCAGTAGCGGATGACGGAGGCATATTGTCCCAATAGAATTGTTTAGTATAATATAATATAACAGGCAATGGTACCTGGTCACGCAGTAGGAATGCAGCAGAAGTTGATTGGTATACATGGCGTAATTATTGATATACTGTAACACAATGGGAAAACGCGACAAATACTAAAGTGACATAGTATAGTTATTGATACCTGATAACCCAGTTGTTTTTACGCCATGACACAGTTGGTTCTATATCTTTATTTGCTGTTCACAGCGGCAAACTGATTGTCTGTAAATATCATGTTAAGTTGTGGTATTTGACAAACTCAGTACATAACATCTTTCTAATAATATAGTAAGGAACGGAGAATTGTAGATCCTGCATAATCCTATGGATACGTAGGAATTATTACTTAAATCTTAATTGTGTTTGTGAGAAGCTGGAATGGGAATAAAAATGGCAATATTTGTAAGTATTAAAAGAATCACAAATATGCAAATGAGTTGATGAGATTTCCCCAACAGATATTGTGGAGCAACGCTTGACGAATCACGCAATCAAAATCACAAACTTTTCTTGGTAATGTCAGCACAACTCATGACTTGATAGTGTTAGTGTAGCGGCAGAATAAAACCACTGTCTATAAACTACATTTATTTGGTCTGTTAATAGTCAAACATTTGTTAATCCAGTTAGACGTTACTATCCTGTTGCCGATCTTAATTTTGGCACATATCAGTGGCATATATAGATGAGTCGTTGGGGGAAAATCTTTTCTGATGCATGATGGGAAGGCCATCATTCTCCACGCGCCTGCAATCAGTTAACTCAACAAGCCCCCCCCCCTGAATAAAGTGACTGGGGACGAGGCAGACAATCCTGTACGTTTGTCTCATCCCCTGTCTGGAATTTCGGTAATTTTGATCCTTGTACAACGTTATTAATATACACATTCCACATATTGTACACATTTGTAAAATAATATTGTTCAGTAATTCTAGTTTTGATGATTTCACTTATTGTATGATTGGATGGGATCAATATGATTTCTTTCGTGGTTAACATGAAGTTTATTTCTTTTGAAAAGCATTCGTTTCGTAAGCCAGGGTCACAGAATAGACTATACAGAAGGCCGACTTCTTGGTTTTTCCTATGATTTTGGCGTAACCGTAATTCATCATCAAAATGCTGACGCCATGGTCCTAGCCAGTGCGCGTTTGAGAGGCATTCACCTCTCTGATAATATTCAAAATGGCGGACGTCCAGGGGGGATGCCTCTCAAACGCACACTGGCTACACAGAATAGAAAATAGACCAGAAGCCTCACTTAGCCAAAATTATGTCCGAGATTTTTTATGCGCAAGCGCGAGCCAGCAATTGTAATCACGACGCCATCAAACGCGAGCAACGCCATCAATTGCCATCACTAGGTAATAAAGATCGCTGTTTTAATGTTACAGGACACCTTTTTTGGCGTTTTGCGGAAAATCGCTACTGCGCGCTCAATATCAGTCCGATTTTCATCAAATTTTCACCAAATGTTCTCCAGTGCATGCAAAATATGGTAAAGTTGTAAAATTAACAAACAATAAAATAATGTAAGAATTATTCAGGAAAATCTTAAATCGCGGTACCGTTACGCTTTTGAGTTATGTTCCTGCTGGTTTTAATTTATATTTATGAAAATATAATTTTTATACAGTAAAATAGTTGTTCTAAAAAATCGTGTTCGGAAATTTTTGTTTATTTCGTCATTCCGCTGATATGGCGGTTTCTTTGACGACTGCAATATATTTCTGAATTGTTTTAGTAAATTGCTCTTTATTTTTAAAATATTCAAAATTAAAAAAAAACCGAACACGATTTTGAAACTGACGTCTTTAGCTATGCCCTGTGAAAATTTGAGAAAAATTGGTTAAAACCCGCGGGAGCATAACTCGTTTGAAAATCAGTAATTACCGTAAAATTTTTCGGGAGAAAATTGAATTTGAATATTACATTTTCAATGTTTTTCTTATTGCAGCGAAATGTATTTTATTAAATAACTCTGCGAGTTTTCAACATTTTCCGTTCAAACTTGGTCAGATAGTAGAACTAGTCTAATGCTTTCATGGAAACCAATAAAAAAATTTTAGGCAAAATTAACACTTAAAGGTGTTCTGTAACCTTAACCGTTTTTAAATGCCACAAGTCCAAATAATGGTCATCGCAACAGGAAGACACGGCGTAAATCAAAGGTCGTTGAGGACGACTCACGGATGAGATCAAATGAAAGTGACAGAAAGAAGTAGAGCAGCTTGCAGTTGTTTTTGCAAACGGGCACCGTGCGAATTTTGCCAAAACAAAGAACGAATGCGTGCTCCAGCCCGATTTCCGGTTCTGAAAGGCCCGATTCGCAGGCAAAACGTGCCCGCAAAGCAGGCTGGTCATTTCCCATTGTTTAACTGCCCCACACTCAAGTAACCACAAAAACTCACTTCGCAACATCCGTGAGTCAAAAACAAAAGCGTAAAATATTTGCACAATAATTGCAGAATATGCAGCGTACACTTTGAGCATGTTTTGTGAATTTCAAGAAAAGCCGTTGATTTGAGGAATTGACGCTGACGAACGCTGACGTGATGTTCGCAGCAAGTGTCACACACGTCATCTAGCGTGCGAAATTCGTGATCCGCAAGGCAAAAATCGCGGCCACGAAAATGTTAGGGAAAGGTGTACAGTGAGGCTTCTGGTATATTTTCTATTCTGTGCTGGCTAGGACCATGACGTCAGAGACTTGCAACCTTCAGTGAAACTAACGATTTAAACGTCTTTGTAGACAACAAAAAGATAAAAAAAGTTCAATCTACAAAGTCGTTAGGTCTAACAATCGACGAGCACTTAACTTGGAAAAACCATATCAATAATATTACCAAAAAAATTTCGTCCGGTATTAGTGCTCTTAAGCGCGTAAGACCTTTCATCAATAGAGAAACGGCTGTGAAGGCATACAGGGGCCTGGTCGAGCCCTTTTTTACTTATTGCTCTCCAGTGTGGGATGGTATTGGTTTAAAACTGGGTGAGAAACTACAAAAGCTCCAAAATCGTGCGGCTAGGGTAATGACCAGGTCCTCGTATGAGGTTTCGTCAGCATCCCTACTTTCTGAGTTGGGATGGAGTGTTTTGGCAAAAAATCGCATGAAGCAAAAAGTATCCAAATGTACAAAGTTAATAATAATTGTGCTCCTCAATACTTGCAGCAGTTATTTACACCCAAAGTGAGCAATCATGATCTGAGAAATTCTCTAAATAAATTGTCTGTTCCAAAACCCCGAACAGACTATTTAAAACGTTCTTTCAGCTACAGTGGTGCTTCCCTGTGGAACAGCTTGTCAGAACAGCTCAGATCAGCCCCTTCTCTCAATTCATTCAAAGTCGAATTGACTAACTTCCTATAGTATACTGAGTATATGGACTCTTGCACGGCAATCATGTAAAACAGTAATTATTATTTTTATCTTTTGACTAACATTGTACATATTTAAATTTGTGTATTTTATTCTTGTACTGATGATTCTTCCGTGTTGAAATAAAGTGTATGTATGTATGTATGTATGCATTTTGATGATGAATCATGGCGTGGCAGCGGTTACTCGAGTCGACCTTCTGTGTGTGTTTATTCTGTGCCAGGGTCTTGATTAGTTGAAGTAAGCGACGTTTTTGAAACACAGACGTGGTGACGCTCACATAATTTAACCGTTAACAAGACGCTCAACGGAGCGTTAACTCGCTGGGGCTATACTAGACTTGGTTGAAGGTTTTCTCTTATATTTTCGCACCTTTTTTGACCGCTCGCGTGCATCGCTATTTTCTACCCCTTAGCCTTGAGAGACGAACTTGAACCAAGTCTAGGGCTATACAAATACGCATATTACTGTACATGATACATACAATACTCAGCTATTTCAATTAAGATTTAAAGTTTTTCCCGAGCTAAGCAGAAAAGTCGGATACCGGCGCGAAAGGCTTAATAACACAGTATTAAAATGCGGTAGGCCCTACAAGTAAAGTTATATTTAGGACGCTGCATTCTACTTCTTCAAGACCTCGTTCAAAACTGTCAGCCGCCAGTTGGTCCGTACGCTAGGATTAAACTACGCTTTAAAACGTTCAAAATAAAATATTTTTGGGCTCAAAATACTATCAAAATGAACAGAGAAGTGAGACGAATCCACTGGTATACGGCCGAAAAAGAGAAAACCAATGATACCAAAGTTATCAAGGATCAAACGTACTGCATTTTTTTTATAATTAGTTTAATAATTTTGAGCGATTTATCAACAACACAATTTCGCTTGATTTTCAAAGACAAAGGCCATAAATCGCTATAGAATACTGCTGTTTAGTAATACATTTGACATCCGTAATTACTAATTAGTACAATTTCTAACGCTGAATCGAACGGTGGTATTTTTATCCTTATTGCGCCATTAGGCATTACAAAACACTGAAACGTACTTTGTCAACAATTAAACAATACAATTTGACCAATTTCGCCTCGAATTTCGCTTGATTTTCAAAGGCCATAAATCGCTAGAATACTGGTGTTTTGTAATACAATTGATATCCGTAAGTACAATGTCTAACGCTGAATCGAACGTTGTCGCTTTCTTCTCAAAATATAAAGCAGCGCAGCCAAAAGTATAAACTTGCGATTTGCGAAGGTTGTTGTTTTCGTGCGAAATTCCTTGTAAAATTGTTCAATTTTCCCGAATTTTCCTCAAAATGCCGGGTTATTTATGGATAATTTGGTTAAAATTGGCAGGAGCCTTATGGATAATTGGGGGGAAAATTAGGCAGCTCATTAATATTCTATTTTGTGGCTATCGAAGAAAATTGGAGATTCACTATTGGAGATTGCCGATCCACTAAAAATGAATGCTGAAACCTATACTCGCCCGGGGCACAGGTGCCCCAGCGAGTAATTATGGCGTCAGTGGTTTGTGCTTGAAATGAAGAACGGCAATCAATGCAGTTTCACGTTCGACAACGGCTCGATTTACTTCCGGTCGGCGTTCGTGAATCAAAAACGTTTCTTGTTTAAACTCTTTCTTATTACAACAATATCCAGGTTTATGGATAAAATGAACGTGGTGTTTAGCACAATTAAATAAAAATTGTATTTTTAGGTGTAAATTCCATGGAAGGAAACACGAAGTTTGATTCGGCGTTCTTTTCGAGATGTCCTTTGCCTAAAGAAGAAACAAACGGGCAGAGCGCGGCTTTGCAAGATGATGTGTTCACAGAAAACCTAAGTTTGCAGCCTTTCTCTTATGATAATGACATTGGTCCCGCGTGTGTAGTGTGTTCTGACAAGGCCTCTGGGTATCATTATGGTGTCTTCACTTGCGAAGGTTGTAAGGGTTTTTTTAAGAGAACCGTCCAGAAACAACTCACTTACACATGCAAAGAGAATGCTTCTTGTGATATAAATCAATACACAAGAAATAAATGTCAAGCATGTCGCTATGAGAAATGTGTCATTACTGGAATGTTGAAAGAAGGTGAGTGATGTGGAGGTAGGAAAAGTAAAGCTTTCACTAAGCACAAGTATAAGATCAAACGTACTGACTTTTTATGTACTGTCCTCACTACGACGCAACGTAAGCATAAGAACATCAAAACGTTGCGTTCTTTCCTGATACTTTATATGTTGTTGCTTATGCTTGCGCTTTATCTTGCGTTGTAGTGAGGACACAAGTGAAAACAACATAAGCATAAGAATATCAAAACGTTGCGTTCTTTCCTGATACTTTATATGTTGTTGCTTATGCTTGCGCTTTATCTTGCGTTGTAGTGAGGACACAAGTGAAAACAACATAAGCATAAGAACATCAAAACGTTGCGTTCTTTCCTGATACTTTATATGTTGTTGCTTATGCTTGCGCTTTATCTTGCGTTGTAGTGATGACACAAGTGAAAACAACGTAAGCATAAGAATATCAAAACGTTGCGTTCTTTCCTTATACTTTATATGTTGTTGCTTATGCTTGCGCTTTATCTTGCGTTGTAGTGATGACACAAGTGAAAACAACGTAAGCATAAGAACATCAAAACGTTGCGTTCTTTCCTTATACTTTATATGTTGTTGCTTATGCTTATGCTTGCGCTTTATCTTGCGTTGTAGTGAGGACACAAGTGAAAACAACATAAGCATAAGAACATCAAAACGTTCCGCCTTGATGAAAATTACCAAAAATTTTTATAATTTTGGTAAATTATAAATTATAATTTACTAAATTATAAATTATAATTTATAATTTCTTGATGGAAATTACCAAATGGTTTTCCAAGCAGGATAGCGTGATCCATGCACTTGGGATGTTGCTCGACTTTGGGAAAGCGTAAAAATACACTCGCCTGCGGCTCGAGTATTTTTACGCTTTCCGAAAGTCTCGCGACATCCCTCGTCCATGGACACGCAATCCTGCACGGAAAACCATTCGGTATTCCTTTATTGTTATATAGCTAGTGTGAACACCAAACGTGATTGGCTGATTTGTAGTCACGTGGCTTTAGATAAATGCAATGTATCCCGCCCGGGCAATAAGTGAAAAAGTGTTGCCCGCCCCGACCGGCTACGTACATAAATAAACAAAATGGCGGCACAAATTTATACTATTTAAACTACTGTTTTCGTGGCTTTGTGTTAAAATAAAGAATGTAAAAGAGAAGAAAAATACATAACAGGCAACAGGATATGCTACTGAAACCATTTAAGTAGGTTTTTAGTGTCAAGTTTCTTCGAAACTTGACAAGTATTGTGATGAGTGGGGGAAAATTCATATGAGTCAGGGATCAGGCATAATAGTGTAAACTTTCCGGGGGGTGTATACGATATATGTTCGTAGTGATTTATTGTACTTAGTGCTTTGAAGGTTATTTAGGCAATTTCAGTTGTCTTATTTAAATATTCTTTTGTCCTTTTGCCAAGTTCACAAAAATTTTGAGGAGTGGTTGTCGTTATTGTAATTTTTTGTAAATTTTATAACATTCGCTTCTCATGTTGTGTAAAAGATCTTTACCCCGGAACACTCGATTTTTTCTTTAGCAGCGCAAATGAACATGCGCTATCAAACCGTAGATGACCTACGATGACGTGCGATGCTAGGAAGGAGCGACACAGTGTTGTTTTCAAATGTATACACATTTCAGATGTGAATATTGAGTAAATCTTTGAGAGTCTACGCAATATATAAATTGATGTTATTCATTACGGGCATTCAGTCAAGTACCGATATTACTTAGACGGTATATTCATTATACAGAGCTAAGAATTAAGGAGCTAGATAGTGCTTTTTTCCAAATGTATATAAAATATTTCAGACCTAATTATAAATATTGAGAAAATCTTCGAAGTGCCGATATTATTTTGACGGTATATTCATTATACAGAGCTAGGAAGGAGCGAGACAGCGTTGTTTTCAAATACATAAACATTTCAGACCGATGAATATTGATAAAATCTTTGAGATGCATATAAATTGATGTTGTGCATTTATACCGGTGTCCCAGGATTTTCGCCCCCCCTACATTTTCGCCCCCCGGGGGGCGAAATTCCTAGGAATATCGCCCCCCAGGGGGGCGAAAATCCTAGGAATTTCGCCCCCCTTTAGGAAATTCGCCCCCCTTTAGAAACTTCACCTTTTCTTTAGGATTTTCGTCCTCCGTTCAAAATTTCGCCCTTCCTAACAGTTCCATGGGATAATTATTACATGGCTTTAATCATTTGAAATCAGTATCAATTCAAAATTGTTAAGACAGAGCTTGAAATAACAACCGATCACCGATCAATGATCGGCAAGGAATTGCTTATGATCGGCGGTGACCAGAGTATCAGGCCGTACTTCGGAAAAGCAGGGTTTCGGTTTCCAACCTGAAAAAAGCAGGGAAAGTCACGACTGCTGATCACCATGATCGGGAATTTTAGGAACGTTATTTCAAGCCCTGCATGTAAGAATACAAATTTACAATTACATGTATCGAAAGGGCTTTACACAGTTACGGTAGATCAATACTCAATAGAACTTATGACGCTTCACAGCACACCATGCATATTTTGCATTTTCAGTGTTAAATGTTAATCCTTAACTCATTGTTAAAAGTAATCACCGTGGTGGTTATTGTAATTATTGGTATTGTTTTGCATCCACGTTTTGTCGTTATCGGAAAATGTATGGTTTGTCACTATTTTTTACTTGCATTATTTCAATATAGTTTGTAAATCTCAGAAGCGAAGGGTAGAACTTGCCAATAGGCAATAATCCAATCATATACGTTAAACTTTCAAAAAAGACAAGAAAGCTTTTAGTTTTGCAAAGTTACATTCTCAAATGTTTAAGGCATGCACTAATAAAATCAAAGTAACATTAAATTATTTGAATAAACCACACCACATACATAATGCAATTTTCTTTGCGGAAGTGAAGAATCAAGATTACATCACTGACACAGAAAGTTGACGATTCAACGGACAATAGTCAATACGCTTCCCAACACATTCCATAGATTTTTTACTAATCCTATAGTTTATTGTTAGCAAGTGATTACTGTGGCGGCTATTGTTAACACTCATATTGATAAAATTTGCAAGCGATTGTTTTTATAATATGTTATGTGAATGTAAACTGCCAGAAGAATACGACAACATGATTTTATGCGATCTCTGTGATGGTTCCTCTTTAGATGTGTAGAATATGACACTAGTCTAAGTACCTCAAATGAGTGGTTATGCAGACTGTGCACACCACCAGCTGCTAAGAAGCCTAAAATGTGTATGTAATTTTGTCTCCTTGTAATAAATAAATAAATCACACAATAAATCTTTTCAACTTGCAATCGTTTTGTTTTTAGATCAAAAATTCAAAATTTATATGGGGGGGCAAAATTCCTAAAGGGGGGCGATATTCCTAGGAGATTCGCCCCCCAGGGGGGCGATATTCCTAGGAGATTCGCCCCGGGGGGGCGAATATCCTAGGAATATCGCCCCCCTTTCGAGAGGGGGGGCGAATCTCCTGGGGGGGGGGCGAATCTCCTGTGACACCGGCATTCAATTAAGTGCCGATATTATTTAGTCGTATATTCATTATACATCGAATGTAAAGGTGTAACACTGCTACACCACAGAATAGGTCACTCAGTACGAAGAGCAAAACATTGCATCAGATCAGTAGAGCATAAATAACTATCAAACAGAAGTAGTGTTTGTATATCATTGTATGGCGTTTGCTATCCAACGTGTAGTCACGGGCCTTGTTCACATGTCTGGCACAACGGTGCAAACTGGTGTTCAATGGCACAATGCAATATTCAAATGCAACGAGAACATCACCAGATCTTACGAGAATCTATCTGTATCAAAGCTTTATCAAAACTGCTATAAACTCTGCTGTAACTGTGAAATTATTGACATCTAAAGTGACATTATTGAATACTTGCGAAAAGCTGAAAATGACTCATAAAAAAAAAAAAACCTGATCTTGGCCTTGGGAATATAAAGTCAAAGGTCATTGAGACTTGTTATTGAGAAACATGTCACAATTAAGTTAAAATGCGGAAGCGGATGCGGAACCTAGCGGATCCATGGAGCGGTTGCGGAACGGATATGGGGATAAAATGCGTCATTTAAATGAAATTTTTCGCCTCATTTTTATGTGTCTGTGTTTTGGATTTATGTTTTTTGTAATGGGATGCAACGTCATATTAACTACAGTGTGTCCCCAAAAAAGTACCCTTATAACAATAGGATAGATACTTTCTATAGAGGGTACTTTTTTGGGACACACTGTAGTTGTACAGCTATTTCAATTGTGTCACTGAGACAATAGTTAAATGTGCAATATGGGCGGTGATAAGTTTAGTATATCAGTAGCCTCATGGGGATACTTTCAGCGACAGCTCCCAATGCAATTGTAGTTTTAGAATATACAAAATTTGGTTGCTGGTGAAAGAATTTAAATTTCGAGTTGTCTCGTGTAGCATCACAATAAATAAATAAATTGTACCAGTTCCACGAGGCACGGCGAAGGAAGTGACAATGAATTGTTTCTCTCGTAAAAACCTTGTTCTAATCCACATTTTTGAGTAACGTGCAGGGTTGGTATGTTAGATGAAGAATTAGGCCAAATCGTATTAGTGTCGTTATTGAAAACAAATAAAACAAAACACGCTAAGACAAAAAAACAAAGGCCTAATGTGACGTTGTTTGGCCTAATTGTTGAGCAAACCTATTAACCCGCTAGACCCTACGCAGTTCTTCCCGATCTTATTCAATTTGAAACTTTACACTATCCTTGGATCCCTAGTTTAAATTTTAAACTCGTTTACGCTATAGAGTTTTTGTCATGAAATACAAATATTGTTGTATGAATGTTGTTCAATGTTGATATTTGTTTCGTCGCTATATAACAAAACACTTAACGTCTTTTCCCTCGGGAAATAGTTAGTTTTGTTTTCCCTCGAATCTCAATGTTTCCCTCGACTTCGTCTCGGGAAACATTGAGATTCTCGGGAAAACAAAACTAACTATTTCCCTCGGGTGCAGACATTAAGTGTATATTGTTCAACATCAAAACGTTACTTAAGAAGAATTGAGAACCAGATAAGTATTCATCTAGACAAGTGGTCATATAATCAAGCCTGATGTCACTTGAGAGACGCGACAATTTTTGAGTCGGCTCTGAATGTCCATGCAGGATAACTCAATTTCCCAATTTCATTATTTTGCCGAATATTTTTTTCTTCTGGCTGACACCCTGTAACTGTACATATTTTTATAGTTTGAAAGTTTCTTTCTTGGAAGATCCAACAGACAAACTAATATTCTGATTCACGGCTAGACCATAGAAAAATAAGACCTAGAATGCGTGCTTGGTCATGTGACCAATGTCCAAATTGAAAACAAAAATGCCCTCACAAATCGGCCATGTTGAATTTGTCCGAGGAGCGGTCTATAGCGAAAGGTCATGGGGCGAGTTTAATTTGCCCTTATAAATCGGCTTTATTGAATAGTTAATGCTAAACTTAATGTGGCGTCACTTGTTTAATTAAGAAAGGATAGGAGCACGCATTCTAGGTCTAGTATTTTTATGGGCTAGACAGACGGATACAAACGAAGGCTATAACTTGTTAAACATTCCTTTAGCTGTACGTGAAGACAGGATGCCAGGAGGACGCCATCGTCATAAATCACAGACTCAAGATATCAAAGATAAAGGAAAGAAAAGACGATCTAGTAAAGAAAACAGTTGCAGTCCAGGTCCATGTTCATCCTGTAGTGATCCTGGTTCACCCAGATCTCCCACTGACGATATTGATGTGAAGGGAATGTTGAGTAAGTACAGAGTTTGTTTTCTTTGTACAAGTTGTTAAAGCTCAGGAACAATACGGAACCCTGTAGTGATCCTGATTGCTCACTAGGTACAATGTTTTAATTATTTATTTTGCTTCAACAAACTCATTCCTGAAATTTGCTGTGTTGGTGTAATGTACTCAGGTGATCATGAATAAGCATCTTATTCACCTGAGTACATTACACCAACACAGCAAATATCATGATTATTAGATTACACTGATATCGAAGGAACTAGACTCAGTTCCGAAATATCACATACTCGAACCGACCTGACCGCGTAGCTCAGTTGGCAGAGCATTGGGCTAGTATTCCAAAGGTCGTAGGTTCGATTCCCACCGTGGCCAGGCATATTTTTTTCGAGCCTGCCCGGTGTGGATATACACTCAGAGTAACATCACAAGCAAACTCATTCCTTTCTCCTTCACGAGATCTCCGGAGCACTCGTGACATTGCTGTGATAGTAGAATCTACCGGGAAATTTCTCATTCCTCCTAAACTTATCGCTATATATAACAAAACACTTAATGTCTGTCCCTCCATCGAGCAGACATGAAGTGTGTTGATTGAAGGATGGAACTATCTGAAAAATATAGAAAATGTCTTTCTTGTTCAATAACGAAATCTTCGAGCCAGAAAGCTAAACTAATACGTTTATCATCGAGGAGACCATTGTATGTTTATCATCGAGGAGACCATTTATTTTGCCACACAATTTACAAGATTCGTTGGAAAACCTGCAGTTTTATTTTCGTTCTGGGAACTTTAAAAGTCCTGGAATTAATCTCATGCGTAAGATACGTGAATATTAAAGTTGTGTTTAAATAATTGATTACTAAACTTTCTTGCTCATAGTGTATTGATTATTTTGATTTTTTAAGATACGTGAATATTAAAGTTGTGTTTAAATGATTGATTACTAAACTTTCTTGCTCATAGTGTATTGATTATTTTGATTTTTTAAGATACGTGAATATTAAAGTTCTGCATCACAATCATCATATTCACCTGAGTACATAACACCAACACACAAAATATAAAATATTAAAGTTGTGTTTAAATGATTGATTAGTAAACTTTCTTGCGCATTGTGATGTTACTTGCTAATGATAGCGATACCTACACTGGCGTCGACTTACTGGCGAAATGACACTTTTCTCCTGCATGTATTCAGTTCAAATACCCCTGGGGCCGGTTGTATAAAAAAGTGATTAAAGTTAAATGTTGTTAGTGGAAACGTCATCCAATGAGAAGCGCAATGCAACTTTATAATGTTCTTATGATCCTGAGGATCCGAGAACATTTAAGTCTGTTTGTGTGAAGTGTCACACAACTCGCCCATTGACTAACTTGTCGAATCGAGCATGTTGTTAAATTTACTGTCACATAAATTGTAAGTCGTTGATTGTAATTCGTTGTGCTTGTTTGTTGATCTTCACGTCTGTCTGTCTGTCTGTCTGTCTGTCTGTCTGTCTGTCTGTCTGTCTGTCTGTCTGTCTGTCTGTCTGTCTGTCTGTCTGTCTGTCTGTCTGTCTGTCTGTCTGTCTGTCTGTCTGTTTGTCTGTCTGTCTGTTTGCAAGCCTGTTATTGTTCATACTGTGTATTTCGAATGTCTTGGAACCCCGTTATTGGAGAACTAATCTCTGTGTGGTAATTCCAGCCATGTAATAATCTATTGTCTAACTAATTTTGTGTAATAGTTTGTGTTAAATGGCAAAATCTGTAAAATAAAATAAAATAAAATAAGCGCGTATTTGATAGATAGATAGATAGATGGTTTATTACATATAAACATTGCAGCCAATAGGCTGAATTACGTTTATATTTACAAGTTAAGAAAATATTAAAATACTATACAACTAAATGTCTCTAAAAGGATCTAAGAATGTTCTAATAATTTTATGATGAATAATTTAATGCGTTATATATAATAAAGCTATTTTTAAAACGGTTAGTCTGAAATGCAACGTTAAATCTATGACTGGATCTAGGAGTCATATGAACAGTTTCATTACGTGGTGGAAGAAGATTATAAAGCTTATGGCTATCATCAGTCACTATTTCTTCAAATAGTTTGTCTGAAAGACCGTCTCTTCGATGGCTGAGTCGTTGGAGGCCAGTTGATTGTAAAGCGTCTTCATATGAGACCCAAGGTAAGATAATTCGCAATGCTCTCTTTTGGATCCGCTCCAAATCCTGAGGTAATTTGTCAAACCATTATGGAATACAGGACTTGCGTATTCTAGGATTGGTCTTATGCACGTTGTAAAGAATAGGACAAGTTCTTTCGTGCCAACTCTCGCTCTCTTAAGTTGGGAGAGGAAATAGAGACGCTTTCGCGCCTTCGATATAATTTGGTCAATGTGGTTGTTCCATTTCAAATTGTTAGAAACCGTCAGACCAAGGATTTTAGCACTGTCGACCACTTCCAACATTTCTCCATTTACTATAATAGGGTCAAACATTGCTCTTGGTTTGCAGAATCCGATTCGTAACTCCTTGCATTTAGTTTCGTTAAGTTTGAATTGGTTCTCAGAGATTTGTCTTGTTAGGTCATCTATAAGGGTTTGAACTTTACTTCGTTTTTCCCAACAATTTCGTCTAAAGTTGTATCGTCCACAAATTTCCATATATTACTATCGTTAATCTTTAAGTCATTTATCATTATGATAAACAGCCACGGCCCCAATTTAGTGCCTTGTGGAACCATAGACAATCCAGAAGACAGGGACTGGAAACGCAAGCACATCACGGATGGCACGCGCAAAACATTAGGCGTTTCCAGTCCCTGTCTTCTGAAATGTCGGCCCAATCTGAATAAGAATTTTGATTTAGTTTGAACCGTTGTTTTCTTCCTGTGAGAAAGTCTCTGATCCATTTAAACACCCATTGAGGTAAATCATACATCTTTATTTTGGAAAGTAGCAAGTGGTGGTCGATGAGGTCAACGCCTTTTTGAAGTCGAATAATATAGCTCTAACTGTTGCCCCCGTTCCATCTGTGGCTGCGTTTCACTTATGAATCATACTCAGGAGGGCGAACACGGGGCTTGATCTTGGGATCGCACCATATTGATTCGGATCAACTCTACGGAGCACGGCTGGTTTTACGAATTCGTCCACAATATAATCCTCAGCCACTTTAGAAATTATGGGTGTCAGCGAAATTGGGCGCAAGTCTTTGTTTACTTCTTGAACTGGTTTCTGTTTGGGGATTGGAACGATGTCTGCGCATTTCCACGATTGAGGGAGACTCGCTTCTTGGTAGGAGCTGTTGAGAATATCCGAAATTGGAGCACCTAAAATGTCGGAATTCTCCTTCAGCAACCAGGCCAGGATACCGTCAGGTCCTGTTGCTTTAATTAGGTTGGCTAGCTTCTTGCTGACAGACCTTTCAGATACGTGGTACGATCGTATATTTTCTATTGGTATATCATCGGTCAATAGCATCAAAATCTTTTGTAGGTTCTAAAAATGTTTTGTTGATCATATTGGCCCGATCTTCCAATTCAGTTGGATTGTTTTCAGATCCACAATCCAAGTTCCGTAAGAGAGAGATTGGGTCTACTCGAACCTGTAACGAGATACCGCTCAGTTTTTTGGCTTCTTTGCACCACTCCGCCCGTGAACAGGTTTTTAAATATTCAACCTTCGATGAATAAAATTTTCCTCGCCACGACTTGCGTTCTCGATTGACTTAGCCTGCGTGGCAGGCGGTATTTCTACAGGCAGCGAAAATTAGGGAGTACCGCCTGCCATGCAGGCTACGATTGACTTGGTTTCTCGATTGACTTGGTTTCTTAAGGATTTAAACAGTGTCTCATCACCACGAGCTAGAGCGGCTTGTCGGTGTCGGATCAATTTTTTTAATGGTTGAGGGTAGTAATGTATCTTGTCCGTAGTTAATTATTGATTCGAGCATTTCTACCTTTGCATTACATGAGTTTTGCGTTTCGATTAGGCCCTTAATATCCACTTCTTCTAAATATTTCCGCATTATCAGCCGTTTCGTGGGTCTCAAGTCCCGGGAGATCGTATAAAATTTCGCCTTTTCATTAGTTAGTCTCTTCAAAGGTTGAATTTCGACTGACAAATGATCGGAGAGGCCAAAAGGTGGACGTTTAATTGGTTCATCATAAAACTGTTTCATGTTGGTAAGTACGAGGTCAAGGGAACTAGAGCCACGAGTTGGAAATTTGACGATCTGGCATAGTTCGAAACTATTTTTCAGTCTGGAAAGGTTTAGTTTATTGAAGTCTCCAAGGATTATTATGCCACAATTGGTGAATCGTGCCTCAATTGTTGTTAAAGCCTCGTACAAGTAGTTAATTAAATCCTGATCGTTTCCTCTAGGGGGGTGGTAAAGATTGCATAGTATAATACATGATATACCTCTTGGGAGACGTAGAGGTTTTAGCTTTAGCCAAATGGCTTCAAAATCGTTGCTCACAAGCTCTGATAAAATATCGTACTTTATAGCATTTTTAACGTAGACACAGACGCCACCGTGTTCGCCTTGATATCTATCGCATCGTACAATGTTGTAACCGGAGATTTCGACGACATTATCGTGTATATGATTTTGGAGCCATGACTCCGTTATACAGATGAGATCTACATCAATTTATTTAGACACCTCACGAAGTTCATCAATTTTAGGAGCGAGAGACAATAATCGCTATTTAACTACAAAATGGTGATTAAAAAAGCGATTAAGAGTTTTATACAACCGGCCCCAGGAGAACGAGAGAAAGTCCTAGATTTTTAAAGTCCGAGAAAAATTCCTTGAAAGTCCTGTATTTTTAAAATTATGAAGGTGTGCGGAATTACTATTGTTTACACACAATGTTGGACACATTGAAATTTGTTGTTTTAGGTCAATTGACAGAGAGTGCCCCAGACCAGATTCCCGACGCTGACTGCTCTCACATACGTAACGATGACGGAGAATATGACGTGAATGTGTTCCTGGCGTCGGGGCTCCAAGATCTTAAGAATGCCGTACGTTGGACAAAGAGTGTACCAGGGTTCACGGAATTAAGCTGGGATGATAAAGTATGTTTAATTCGTGCATCATGGATGGATCTGATCCTTCTAAGACTCTCGTACAGATCCTTGGACTATCCTAAAGGTACTACGGTATTTGGCAGAAGTTTGGTCATGAAGCATTCTGAAGTGAAGAAAATGGGATGGTCGCAAGGCATGATGGATGATCATGACGAATTCACAGATAAACTGAGAATGCTGCATCCTGATAAAAACGAATTTGCCTGTCTATGTGCGCTGGTCTTGCTTACTTCAGGTAAGAACCACTCACTATTTATTCTCTAGGCTAACAGCTAGAGCTTTCTGTTTTAGGTTCTTTCCGTTTTGGGGAGGCCCGCGAGAGTAGGAAAAACGAGAAATAGAAAGGCATTTTTCTTTGAAAATTATCAAAACTGCCTCACTTTGATGGTGCCAGTCCTTGTGTTTAAGGTATAAACGCACAATCTATATTTCGGTATACGTCTAGAGAATCGGTCGTTTTAACCGTAAAGTTTGTTGGAAATTGATTGATTTTTTACTTTGAATTACTTTGAATTACAAAACTTTAAATTACAAAAAAAACTCTCACAAATATTGTTTTAATTAAACTGGATTTGAGTTCTGAGCCACCGATCCTATCAACCGTGGGCTCACACGTCTCAATTACTCTATATATTGTCTAATGTGGGTCTAGCTATTTTGCGGGCTGCGGGTCAATTTTTGCGGGCTGCGGGTCAATTTTTGCGGGCTGCGGGTCAGTTTTTGCGGGCCGCGGGCCAAATTGCTGGCCTAACTAATTTTTTGTGTTGCATGCCATATATGGCATGCAACTTTCATATAGCTCTAAATTTCGTGTCGCGGTGAGCGGCGGTGAGCGTACCGGTCACGTGGAAATTCGTAAAATACGACAAATACCGAGTTTTTCCGACGAGCAATTCATCACTCATGCTCGAGGAAAGGCAAAGAAAAATGTTTGAGTGTTCGCGGAAAATTTACATAATTGAGCGCCTTTAAAAATAGATCAAGGTAGATAAAGCTTTGCTGGTTTTAATTTTCCTTATATTCTGTTATTTGTTGTGATTTTGGAGCAGTTGTGCTCGCAATAAAATATTAATCATAAAATGAATGATTATTAAAAAGTCGTTTTTACTAATATTTATATCGTGAAGCCTGGCTACGCTATCAAAATACTCAATTTTTATATATGCTCAATATATACTATATTGTGTGCAAAACTTCAAAACTACAGTACATTTTGTAAATAACATGAAATATATTAAAATATCAAACAAAATTCTCATTATACTATTGAAACGTAATACAACGAAATAGTATTCTACGTCGATAATTTCAATCATAGTTTAATAATTATTTTCAATCTATAGTAATTCCGATCGCCGTTTCCATGTTTTTTTTTTATACTTTCGATAAAGCTACAATAAAGCTAAATTTGTAGGAAATAACATTATTTAGTTATAAAATAATATAAAAGGAAATCTAACAGTCAATCGCTTTCGATAAAACCTTGACCTTGTTTATATTACCGTCGTTTGCAACTAACGATGAACAGTCGCTCATAAAAAACATTGCCTATTCGCGTGAGAATCTTAAGTTTTCTTATTTTCACATAATAGCTATTTTTCAATAAATATATTGATATAAAACTTATTGAATCATTATTTTAAGTTTCAGGCCAGTTGTACCAAAAGTTATAAGCGGTAGCGCATTATAACCAGGACAAAGAATGGGTCATACAGAAGCCCAATTTCTTGGTTTTTCCTATGATTTTCCAATGATTTTGGCGGTTAGCACTTTTTTCCATCCAGCAAACCGCCCTATCGATTTTCTAAAGTCGTTTTTTTGCAATTTTTTATTAATTCGATTAGGGTTAGAGTTAGGGTTGGGGTTAGGGTTAGCCTAGAGTAGGGACTAGGTGTAGGGTTTGTGTTAGTTACATAGCCATTTAAAGGCCGCTTTCCACTTCAACCGTATCGTACACGCGTAAAAACGTTCAGGTTGATGCAATACTGATGAAAACAGGATTGAACAATGTTTTGCTGCCCACATTGTTCATAGCTGTCAACAATATTGAACAATATTCGGGCTCAACAATAGTGTTCAATATTATTATTTTTTTTTTTTTTTCTGTGTTGGTGTAGTGTACTCAGGTGAATATGATATTTGTGGTGTTACTCAACTTACTCTGAGTGTATATCCACACCGGGCGAGCTTGAAAAATATGCCCGGCCACGGTGGGATTCGAACCTACGACCTTTGGAATACTAGCCCAATGCTCTTCCAACTGAGCTACGCGGTCAGGACGATTCGTGTAAGTGATATTTCGGTACAGAATCTAGTTCCTTCGATACCAATGTATTCTAGTAATGTGATTTTTTTCTGTGTTGGTGTAGTGTACTTGTGGTGTTACTCTGAGTGTATATCCACACCGGGCGAGCTTGAAAAATATGGGCTAGTATTCCAAAGGTCGTAGGTTCGAATCCCACCGTGGCCAGGCATATTTTTCAAGCTCGCCCGGTGTGGATATACACTCAGAGTAACACCACAAATATCATAGTGTTCAATATTGTTGACAAGTGTGAACAATGTGGGCAGCAAAACATTGTTCAATCCTGTTGAGCAGCGGGCTCGGCGTTATTTTCCGGTTACCAAAACGTAGCGTATTTCTTTGTTTCCTGAGCGCTAGAGTGGAACTAATGATTTCAACACAAAAGAAAATGCTACGATACGGTCGAAGTGGAAAACAGGTTTAACACCTCTTCTCTCTTCCGAAAATGACGTCAGGTCAGTTTGCTGGATGGAAAATAGTGCTACTATTAGGATTGCAGGCTTTCTTGCCATCCTACTTCTCCTACTTTTTCCTACTTTTCTTCAACTTTCCTACTTTTCCTATTTTTTATTAAAAATTGCTTGATTTTCCTACTTTTTCCTACTTTTTCTCATATAATCCTACTTTTATAAGACAGCTTGGGGATCAGTATGTTATAGCTCTCGTAATTAGATCTATAGGACTCGTAATTTTTATTCCCTATTTGTGTCCCAGATGATAAGATCTCAGGAGGAGAAGAAGCACATTTTCCGAGTATAAAATTTGATAGCATGCCATTTCTAGAATCATAATCAATAAATTAATGAAGACTCTGAAAGTGCCATTTCCGACGATCTAGAGATTCCAAATATTCAACTCCCCCCCCCCCAGTTAATCAAGCATCATATATACAGGGCCGTAGCAACCGGGGGGCTGCAGCTCCCCAATAATTTGCTAATAATCATTTTTTTTCAAAATCATGCAGACCTTTATCATTTAATCCATGACATGCAAACTGCAAAGAATGAAGATATTACCCATACTTTCCTGCAACTTATCGAATATATAGTTAATTAAATACGCCTTCGCCCATTTAGTACTGCTAAATTGTAAATTTCGACATACTAAAACGCTGTTTTCTGACCATTAGAATTCTGTCAAGTTTTCCCCAAAGTCCTGGAAACGGCATTTCAGAGACTCTAAATTTAAAAATTTCCTCTGGCCTTCGGCCCTCGCTTTCAGCCCCCCACCCCCAATCGAAAACAGCTTCCTACGGCCCTGATATACGCTTCTGCCGTAGTGCGGATTGGTGCATTGTGTAGCCCAATACATACATTTGAATTGTGTTGCTGCACAGCAGAATGAGCAGATGCCTTAGCTTTTATACCGATGCAATTTAAACGTTTTGAGAAAAAAATCCTGCATAGATGAATGAGTACATAAAAATATTGAGCACCAAAAATTCACACAACTTCCCTATCAGATATCTAATGGTCTACCCCTTACCACATATATCCTAGGGGGCCAATTTTGTATATTTTTGTGTTATTTGCATCTCCAAAACTCCTACTTTTGTCCTACTTTTTTACACATTTTCCTACTTTATTCCTACTTTTCCTAAAATTCTAGTCCTACTTTTGTCCTACTTTTCTACACAAGGATGCCAGAAAGCCTGGGATTGGTGTACAGTTATCCCGGTCGAAACAGGTTTTAATGTCTGGTACGACTCATAAACTGAGATTCCATGATATTACAAAAAGAATGAATTTAAGGAAAAATTCGTATGCATATGATTACGAATAACATTAGACATAGAATATACTTCAAAGACAGAAAATTTTGAATAATATTGTTATTTTCTTTACATTTTGACAATATTTTTTTAAAAATTCGTCAGGCCCGCAACTAGACCCGCGGCTTGCAATCGTGTTAGCATTTTTCTGCCCGCATTTTTCGACCCGCACCCCGCGTTTTTCGGCCCGCAATTTTTGGCCCGCAACCCGCATTTTTCTGCCCGCAACCCGCATTTTTCGGCCCGCAGCCCGCATTTTTTCGGCCCGCAGCCCGCATTTTTTGGCCCGCAGCCCGCAATTTTTGGCCCGCAGCCCGCAATTTTTGGCCCGCAACCCGCAGAATAGTTAAACTCGTCTAATGTAACCAATAATGTTTAGTAACTAGTTTGTTTACCCACAGGGTAGTGAATGCTGCCTTGGTATAGCATTGTTCCCAAATCTTTAATATTTTAAAGAATAAGAGTAAGAAATATTTGTAATTAATGGACCATTTGCATTATAGACTAAATTTTGATCTAGACAAAAATTTCACCACAGCTTGAAAGAGTATCACAAAATTAGTAATATTCCAAAGTTTCGTTGCGAAATGTTGTAAAATGCGGATATTATAATGCGGATATTATATATCACAGCCTAATCGGGTGTAGCCTGTACACATCCTGTATTACCCTGTACTACAGTCTGTGAAAACTCACGCGATTGCTTGTCGAGCTACTCAGATCTGATTAGTAGACTGTCATTGGCTAAAGATAATTAAATTATTTTGATTGCATACGATTGGTTAATTTCTCATCACTAGTAAAACCTGTTTTCCAATCAATATAAAATTAATAAGACCACTTAATTTCAACGCGCGAAATTGATTTGTTCTTCAAAATTTCCTATACTCGCTGCTCCAAGACAAGGTAAATTTTATATATTTTTAATCGTCGAGAAATAGGCTATCGGAAAATGTTTAAATCAAGTTTATACGATCAGAAATTTAGAAGTTAGGAGTCAATTTGGTAGCCGCTTGACTACAATTTGATTGTTTACACTGACACGAAAACAACATTACAAATCTTATGTAAGCTCATCCAGTTTTTGTTGTAGAGACTTTGTTTACTTATCTTTCGAAAGAAAATCTTCTACGGATTTCAAAACTATATAATGTGTCTCGTGTTAAGATAGAAAATAATTTTTAAATGAAGAAAAGTGA